GAGGAGGAGGATGAGGAGGAGGAGGATGAGGAGGAGGATGCGGAGGATGAGGATGAGGATGAGGAGGATGAGGATGAGGAGGAGGACGAGGAGGAGAGAGGATGAGGAGGATGAGGATGAGGAGGAGGAGGAGGAGGAGGGGGAACAGCAGCAGCAGCAGGGGGAGACGGAGGAAGAGGAGGAGGAGGAGGGGGAGGAGGAGGAGGAAGAGGGGCGAGGGGAGAGGGGTGGGCATAGAGGCGGGACAACCCCCCACCCGCCCGCCCGCGGCACGCGGCGGTGGCCTCCGAACCGCAGCACGTCACGTAGTCCTCGACGTCGGCCCCGATCGTCTGCTTGTCGGCCTCGGTCGGCCCCCGCTCCTCATCACATGCATCTTCCCCCTCGCCCACCCCGCCCTCCTCCTCGTCCTCAACAGTGTCCGCCTCACCTTCGCATTCACTCCCTCCTCGTCCACATCGCTATCCACCATCCTCATCTGCCTCATCATCCCACCCTCCTCCGCCCCCTCCTCTTCCTCCTCCCTCCCGTCCACCTCCTCCTCTTCCCTCGCCCTGGCCAGCACACCCCTGACCCTGATCACCCCGCCCGCTGCGGCCTCGGCCGAAGCGCAGCCGCCATCAGCGGGTAGTCCAGCATGCCACATTCGTTGATCATGCCCTGTGGCGGGCTGGGGGGGGCGCGCTGGCGGCGCGCGCGAGGGGCGTGGGGTGCGAGCGTGGCGGCGGAGGCGGTGGTGGGGCTGAGATGGGCTGAGGTGGAGTTGGGGGCGGGGGGGGGGGGGGGGGGGGAGCGAGTCCCATTGTGCAGGCCCCATTGCCTCCATACTGCGAGGTCGATCCACTCGACTGCGCTGCAGTGGTCGAAGGGTCTCTGGCCGCGGGCATCTCGCGGTGCGGAGCGAGCGGCACGTAGGCGCCGCCGCACTCATGGGCCCAATCATCATGCAACGGACGCTGCAGCCACACTATTCCTGGAGTAGGCGGTGGGGCGGTCAAGCAGTTGTTGTCCCAGTCGTTGGTCCATGTAGTCTCCACGAAAGCAGGCTCGCCTCCGATCGAGGCGTTCCCAGAGCGGCCCGACCGCCGTGATCTCCGCTCATGTATGTCCGAGGTCCTCTGCGCGGCCTGGTCCTCCCACGACTTTCTGCCGCCGTCATCGCCGCTGTCACTACTGTGTTTCCAGGCTAGCGCGAGGCCGAACTGCAATCGAGATGCCCGCCCGACACAGAACAGCTCCCTCCCGCGACCTCTACGCCGATCCCTCACGCTGCACTTGACCAGCGTCCTCCTGTAGACATCCTTCGCCTGGTGGCTCGTCAAGGCGCCGCTCTCGATGGACTCGCGGATCTGCGCGATCGGGCCATGCGACTCTGGCCCGAACTCCACGTCACGCCATCGCTGATGCTGCTGCTGCGCCATCGCCGCGGCTGCCACCACGCGCGCCTGGGCATGCTGCGCCAGACAGCTGCAGCGCGCCAACGGGCCCGACCGCCCCTGGCCCCATGAACCCTGCAAGTTACTCGCCCCAATAGGCCCCTCCCCCGCCCAACCCCTCCCTCGCCACCTTCCCCCGAATCCACCATCCTCGAATCTTCCAGTCGCGCGTCATCATCCGACTCATCCTCCACGCCCTCGTCATCAGCATCCCCCCCCCCCCCCCCCCCCTCGCAATCATAATCGCCATCGCAGGGCCCCCAAGGCGATCCGATGCTGTGCGCGTAGATTCTCGTTTTGCACGGCGGCCACCCCCAGGACGCGAGCGCATATCACAGGGCGAGTGCCTCGGTGTGCAGGGCGAGCAACTGCTGACGGTGGCACCTACTAGCAGAAAACGGGCGGCGAACTGATCTGGCACGAGGGTAGCGCTAGCGCGCGAACCACGCGGCTTCCAGAACGAGCGGCCGCGCCAAACCCCACTGGCACTTGCGAGCGCAATCCACCAGAGGCCAAACCCGCTTGATGATGACATGGGAGGGGGAGGGGAGGGAAGAACGTGCCATGCGTGCGTTAATAAAACCTCGATTGTATGTCCCCCGACTGCGCTCACAGTGCCTTCGCCAAAATGCGAATATGTCTGCCGACGCGCACGACCAAGTGCACGTCCAAAACATGTCCGACGGCAAGCACTATGCTTTCGTCGGTCGGCTCCCAGAGAGATCCCCCAGCGCCCGATTGCACGTGCAAAGTTGCAACTAGCGAGCACGATGGGACGCTGGGGTGGCAACTGTACCTGGCATCCACGCAACCAATCACAACGGCGTAGCCGATGCAGCCAGACTGCGCTCTAAACGAGACGGCGCTGCCATCGCGCAGGACCCCCCGAGCCCAATGCAAACGCCGAGACACGCACACCTTTGCTGGGGGATTGTCTGGAGGAAAATATTTCAACAGAGCCATTGCCTCCGTGACTGGCTCCACCAAAAACACTGGAACACATGCAGAATTGGTGAGCTTATGCTCCATGTCAAGTGCAATCCTAGAAATAATGGCACGCGATGGGTCCCCCACAGCAGCAGTGTGCTCAGCAACTGCATTAAGGAGCTTATTCCTCCCCTCGTTCGAGAAGCACGATAAACTTATCTGGTGGCGCGCTAAATGCATTGGAACATGGCGTTGTAAATGGCTTTTGAGTTTGCAAACCTCGCGCCCATAAATATCAATCATCGCCTGATGGTGCAATTTGATCAGAGATCCGAGCCTTGCCGAATGCTGCACGGCAGCGCCCCCGAGCGACAATATATTGAAACTTATCCCCATCAATTGCATGCATCTGCTGTGCTCTTGGAGCTGGGCAGGCGGAACGTCGAGCGTCACCTGGCACCAATTCGCCAACCGCGCGCGCGGCCACACCATCAATGAGTGTGTTTGTTTGCTGTTGAGTTTACAAATGCCCTAAGACCTAAATCGGTGTACTGGGGGCTGGCGGAGATGCGCCTGCGAACTCGTCGAGCTTTTCCATCGTCGTCGACCCTTCACGCACAAGCACCCTACAAAAACAATTTATCATATATTGCGCGACGCCACCGCTGGCAGCTAGTATGTGCATCCAGTCGGAATACAAAGTGTCAGCTGGTCGAAATATTCGGCGGAGGTCAAGGGCCCATAGAAGGCCAGCCTCGTCGTACGTTAATCCGAAAACTTGCTGCTTAATCTTCCACTCGCCTACAGGAGCTGTGGGTCTCATAGCTGTTAGCTCGTCTGCCATTTCCCACATTGTCTCATTCGTGTGCAAATCAAACCGTTCGGGCATCATCAAAGAGGCGTGGCCGATATATTGGTCTGGCGGGAGGGTCACATGTTTACCATAGTACACATTCTTACAGGCTGCGCAACACGAGCTGCCGGACGCCCCCTTTGCTGAAAGCCCTTCCTTGCGTGCTTTCTCGTCTTGAATCATACATGCAATAACTGATTTGATGATAGTGCGGCCGCCAGCGCCGTCGGGAACAGCAATCCCTACGTCCAAATTTTCTGTGCCCAAGAACATGAAACGAAATATGTGTTTCAATAATCCAGAGTATCCACCTGCCACTTTTCGCAACTGTTCATAGCGCATGAATCCTATGGGAGTCCACCCCTGGTCGGTGGTGCGCCACCACTCAGGCAGCTCTGTCCATACAAAATAAATCCCTACATGCTTTGTCGAAAAATCAGGCCTGAGCTGATTGCCAGCTGTTGTCTCGTCTCCCCACACCGCGCAAGACGACACTACACCGCCAACGTGCTGAGCAATGAGCCTCGCATAAGCTGGCGATTCACTGCACAAGTGGTAAGTCAGAGCTAGTGGGCTGGCAACCGCCCATTTGTATGTCGTGCCATCGACGAGCTGTATATCCAACATTTGAACAACATTCCCATATGGCGTACTCAATTATGACATGTACTTTCGTATAGTTGTACTCACATATGCAATGCTAACACTCGTATCTACATCATCCTTCAAATGTTCAAGAATGCGCTTCAATTGGGCACCAGAGGCTTTGAGTCCAGCTGCCTGAACTGCTCTGATGAGTTTGGGCTTCTTGCGGGGTCTCAACATATTTGGGCCGAAACGGCTGGAACAGTACGGGCGGGGGGGGCATCGGGGAGGGAAGTATATTTGCGTTCGGTGAGGGCTTGTGGGCCTGTGTAAGTTTAGCTAAGTTTAGCTAACTTTTTTGTAGCCGTGCCTAACTTTTTCAAGTTTTGGTAAGTGAGCACTAACTAAGATGACAGGCTTATAACATTACTAACAAACCACAGCCTAAAATAGGCAACTCTGTTACAAACAAACTTATGACCTGGATAAATTCTTATTACTAGTTGGTACAACCCGCGCACTTAGCAACCAGGTTAAAATTAGATAACCTAAATACAACCCGACTCACACAGCTTATATGTTGATTTGGCAATCTTGTAAATCAACTTATATATCAGAGAAGTCCCAAAACCACGAAGTGGGGGTCGACGTCATGAAAAAATCATGACGTCGGGGGTCTGGGGAGGCAAGTTCTGATTGGGCAAGAATAGAAAAGTCGTGGATGCTTGGGGGCCGGGGCGTGCCTAGAACCAGCACCGGCGGCGCGACACGCGGAGCAAAGGCTCCCGACCGCAAGGCCTCGGCTCCCCGAGACGGGGTTCGGGGAGAAGGGTGGGGGGCGTGCTGGCGCGAGCTGGTGAGGTGCTCGAGCCGTCCAGAAGAGGACGCCTGGGGGAGGAGGAGGAGGAGGAGGAGGAGGAGGAGGAGGAGGAGGAGGAGGAGGAGGAGGAGGAGGGGGAGGAGGAGGAGGAGGAGGAGGAGGAGGAGGAGGTGGCGGAGGAGGAGGAGGACGAGGAGGAGGAGGAGGAGGACGACGACGACAAGGAGGAGGACGACGACGACAAGGAGGAGGACGACGACTACGGCGACGAGGCACCAAGAGGGACGGTCAGGAGGAGCCCGGAAGGGGAACGACGCACCGACGGGAGGTAGAGGAGGAGGCAAGACAGGGAACGCGGCCCGCAGTGGCATCGTGGCGCCTACAACACGCTGGGCTCCAGCCTCGCCCCGACCAGCTCGCCGAGGAGCGGCAACGCCTGCCGCCACTGCTTGCCCCTCCCGCACGCGACGGCGGCCGCAGCGTAGCTGCGGGAGCCGACCTCCCCGCGCAGGTGCCGCGCGTCGCGGAGCAGCTGCAGCGCGGCGCTCCACCGCTCCGCCCCCCGGGGCTCCCTGGCGCCCGCCTCGAGGCGTGCTCCGACCTCGCCAGGGCCTCCCGCGCCGCGAGGCGCCGGCCCGCCTCGGCCCGCAGCCGCGGGAGCTCGGCAGCTGCCCCCCCGAGCTCCGCACGGCTCGGCGCGGCACGCTCGCCCGGCGGCTCGGCCCCTGCCTCCGTCCGCCCGAGGCCGCCCGCCACCAGGCGAGGCCCCCGCCGGCAGCCCTCGCCAGCTCTCCGGCATCCAGGGCAACTCGCAGGGCGCACCAGTCCGCCCGGCGCAAGCATACCGGCTGGCAGAAGTGGTGCCCCCGAGGAAACGGGATCCGATTTGCCCTGAGACCGGCAGGCTTGTGCCACAAATACTCTCCGAGGTGGCGCGGACGACCAACGACGATCATCCTCGCTCTCCGCTGCCCTGCGTGGGACCACTACTCAGATGCACTGCCCCCCAACACGACCAGACAGCGCGACAGACCAGGCACATGCATTGCAAAAATCAATTCGCATCCCTGCTTCTCGCAGAACACTACGGTCACTCATTAGAAACCGCAGAACCAAACGAACTCGCCAAATCCTCCCTCCCACTCATCATGATCATCATCGTCAGCATCATCAGCATCATCAGCAACATCAGCATCAACAGCATCATCGTCATTATCAGCACCACCACCACCATCATCATCATAATTATCATCATCATCATCATCATCATCATCATCATCATCATCAGCAGCAGCATCAGCAGCATCAGCATCAGCATCAGCATCAGCATCATCATCATCCTCATCATCATCATCATCATCATCATCATCATCATCATCATCAGCAGCAGCAGCAGCATTATCAGATTCATCATCATTAAAATCAGCATTATCATCATCATCATCATCATCATCAGCAGCATCGTCATCATCACCATCCGTCATCATCAGCATCAGCATCAGCAGCAGCAGCATTATCATCATCAGCAGCACCATCATCATCAGAATATCATCTCCAGCATCAGCAGCATCGTAATTATCAGTAGTCTCACCATGAGCATCAGCAGCAGCAGCATCATCATCGACATCAACATCATCAGAATCAGCATCATCATCATCATCAGCAGCATCATCAGCATCAGCATCAGCATCATCATCATCAGCATCGTCGTCATCCTCATCGTCACGATCATCAGCATCATCATCAGCATCATCAGCATCATCATCATCATCATCATCATCATCATCATCATCATCATCATCATCATCATCATCATCATCTGCAGCATCATCATCAGTAGCAGCAGCAGCAGCATGGGTCCTCCTCCTTCCTTCCTCTGCCATCCCTCCTTCTCTCAGTCCACCCTTCATCCCTGATTCCCTCGTCATCCTTCATCTCATTCCTCCCTCGTCCAGCCTCCTCCCTCATCCGCCCCTCCCCTAGAAACCTAAGGACCCAAGACCCAGTAAAAGCTTCAAACCCTCCCTCCCCATTCCTCGATCCTCTATCCCTCCTCGACCCACATCATTCCTAAATTCTCATCCTCCTCCTCGTCCTTCTCCTCCTCGCCCTCCTCCTTCCCTCGCCTCGACCCTGCCAACCCCTAAAGCCATCAAAGGCTGTCCCCCTCGTCCCTCCTCCGCGTCCTCCTCCTCCTCCTCCTCCTCCTCCTCCTCCACCTCCTCCTCCAACTCATCCTTCTCGTCCTGCTCCTCGTGGTCCTCATCCAATTCCCATTCGTATCCCTCCTCCTTGCCCCCCTCCTCCTCCGCCTCCTACCTCCTCCGCCTCATCATCACCTCATCCTCATCCTCAACCTCATCCTCATCCGCCTCCTCCTCTAGTCGTCCTCTCGTCTCAGCGCCTCCTTCACCCTCTCTCCATCATCATTCAGCATCATCAGCATCCTTATCATTATCAGCATCATCATCACCATCTCATCATCATCATCATCATCATCATCATCATCCGCAGCAGGCATCAGCCAGATCCATCTTCTCAGCATCCTCAGAATCCGCATCCTAGCACACAGCATCAGCATCAGCATCAGCATAGCATCAGCATCAGCATCAGCATCAGCATCAGCATCAGCATCAGCATCAGCATCAGCATCATCATCATCATCATCATCATCATCATCATCATCATCATCATCATCATCATCATCATCATCATCATCATCATCATCATCATCATCATCATCATAATCAGCATCATCAGCATCATCATCATCATCATCATCAACAGCATCAACATCAGCATCATCATCAACAGCATCATCAACATCCACATCATAGTCAGCATCATAGTCAGCACCATCATCATCATCATCAGCATCATCATCATCATCATGATCATCAGCATCATCATCATCATCAGCATCATCATCATAATCATCATCATCATCATCATCATCATCATCATCATCAGCATCATCATCATCATCAGCAGCAGCATCATCATCATCATCAGCATCAGCATCATCATCATCATCATCAGCCATCAGCACCAGCATCAGCATTCATCAGCATCATCTCATCATTCCTCATCATCATCATCATTCATCAGCATCATCGTCACTCATCATCATCATGCAGCATCATCATCTCATCATCATAATCGCATACATCAGCATCAGCATCAGCATCCGCATCATTCAGCAGCAGCATCAACATCTAATCTATAGTCATCATTCATCATCATCATCATCATCATCATCATCATCATCATCATCAGAATCATCATCATCATCATCATCATCATCATCATCATCATCGTCATCATCATCATCATCATCATCATCATCATCATCATCACCAGTATCAGCATCAGCATCAGCATCAGCATCATCATCATCATCAGCATCATCAGCATCAGCATCAGCATCATCATCATCAGCATCATCATCAACATCCTCATCATCGTCAGCATCATCAGCATCATCATCATCATCATAATCAGC